TGGCCTGCCAGATCCCGGCCACGCTGCCACTGCCCACCCTACTGCGCCCCGCACGCCCAGGGCTCTCTGCAGGCCACCCCGGGCCAGCTCACTGACGGGGCACTCAGATGACAAAGACACCCCTTCCCCACCCCACAGCCGGGGACTTGGACTCCAGGAGGGTTTCCAGAGTACAGCTTCACCATCATCTCCTCTGGCGTCCTCCACAGAGCGCTGATGACAGCTCCACAAGGCCAGTGCCCCATGGGGACAGAGGTCTGGGACATGGTACGTCTGAAATCTCCTCCCAACTATGCCAGAGGAGCTGAGCTCAGGCTGGGTGCTGGCTAGTCAGGGTCACGCCCTGAAGGTCACCCCACTTCGGCAAAGATGAGTTCAGGGACTACGTAAAAGACCTCACCTTCGCCACCTTGGCAGGGGGACTGCAGGGCCAGGGTGTGCAGCCTACTCGAGAGAGCACTGTGGGGCCACTGACGTGCGGGACTGAAACGGAGGGAAGGCCGGTGGCGTAGACGGAGCCAGGCATGGATGGCGGGCTTCCAGCAGACTTCTACAAGGGCTTCCCCGCTGACTCCATCTCTTTAATTTTGTCAGGGGACACGTGTGTGCACCTGAGAGACAGGCGGGGGCAGGGAAGCGAGAGAGCACGGCCCCGGGGCCGGCCAACGGCAGCCCCCTCTCGTGGACCTCCCTGAGGGTCGGGTCCACGATGCACTCCCTGGAGAGGGGATGGCCACAGCACCTCTGTCTCTGTCCTCCTCTGCCCCTCTGGGGCACACACACATGCACTCAGTGGGATTTCCAGGCTTCCGAGTCCAGGACTCAGCCCTTGCAGCTGGCCGTGTGGGGTCCAGTCACCTTCACCTTCGCTTGACCTGCTGGCCCCGTGTGTTTCTCAAGCCACCTGATCCGGGACTCGCACCGTGGGGTCGGCCGTGTGGGATCCAGCGCCCTTAGCCACCAAGCCACAGGCTCCTCCTCACGTTTAGCATTCCTTCTAAATTCTTGCCATGCAAGGCTCCCAAGTCCAGAGAAAAGAGGGCAGCATAGACAGACTTCCCGGTGCCAGCTCTCACCCAGACCCTCTTCCTGAGCAGCTCCCTGCTGGGCGAGGAGCCGTGTGCATACTGCCCGCGAAGCCTCGGGGAGCGGACGCTGCGTGAGTGGGCTGTCTGCCTGCCCTGGGAGCCGGACACAGGCTCCCGTGCCTGACCCTGTCCGACCCGTTTCTGCACCAGTTCGTCAGGGCTGTCTCTCTGGCGGCTCCCTGCTCCGCAGTCCTGTAGGCGCAGAGACAGAGGGGACTCCCAGTACCTCGGGGCCCCTCCTAAGTCTCGGGGGACCCTCGCCGCCTTCTTCCTCAGGTGCAGCACTGCAAAGAACCCTTAACAAGAAAGGTAAGCACACTGAGGAAGGGCTGGGCGGGGAATGGCAGTGGCCACACACATGCACACGCGTGCACACACACACGTGCCCTCTTTAAGCTCGTAAGCTGGGGAGACCTGGTTTGCTAGAACCGGGTCTGGTACAGAACCAGGGCAATGCTGAAAACTAGCAAATACTGTGTGAAGCATAAGTGAAATTTCGGAAAGGGCAGAGGCTTAGGGGCAGCTTGCTGGCTCCTCATTCAGAGCCCACCCTGGTACCCTGACTCACCACGGGAATACATAAAGGCTCCCCAGAACCGTCTTTCTCCACGACCCCCTCAGGCATCGAACTCCAGCTTGGGGGCCTCAGCTAGGGAGTAGCCGGCACTCACCGTGGGTGCCAGCCCGCGTCCACGCCCCTTCCCCTGTGCAGCTTGTGGTGAACAAGAGTTTGCTGCCACCAGCCATGCCGCGCCGTACCTGGGCAGCGGCTGGCTCTACGCAGCTTCCTGGGCACACGAGGCGGTGCTGCAGAACTGCGTCTGCTTGCAGTGGACTGTCTGTGCACTCCTCCCAGCCAGCCCCCAGCCCCGCACACCACGCCTGCTTCAGATGGGCAAGGGGGGCTCCAGTCAACCGGACCCCAGGGCAGGAGGAAGGCGCCTGGGTGCACTCTCGGCCCAGGAAGTGTACCACAGCTCGCGGTGCAACGGACGGTGCCCACCTGTGTGTGGAGGTCACCTCGCGTCACCCTGAGCAGCAGGGAAGACGCTTGGGCTGGGTCTGCTGCAACAGTAAGAGCAGCAGCCGCCCCCACGGCCAGCCAAGTCCAGAGCCTGGCCTCGGTGGTCTGCAAACACTCCAGGTGCACGAGCAGGGCCTGCGGTCCTGGCAGAGCAGCAGAGGGGAGCCTGCGCCTGACTCTCCTCAGCGTGGGCGCATGAGCACGCCCACTCCCGCACACTCGCTCACACGTGTGCAAGCACACACGCCCTCTGACAAGAATGAAATGAATAATGCACAGGAGTAAAATACGCCTTTCAGGAAAGACACGTGCACCTGCCCAGCGGGGGGAGCAGCAGGGGCCGTGCACCCCATGGGGCCCACAGCGGCCGTCCCCCCGCCCAGCGCCCACTGCTGTATCCCCCCACCCAGCGCCCACAGCGGCCG